TTTGTCATCCCGTGCTGCCTTTTGAAATCTTCTATTCAACTCTTTAGTATCTTGAATTCTTCCCTGTGCTTTGGCTTCTCTGTGCTCCAGTGCAATTTTCAGAGTATCTTCTGACATCCATTTTGGTCCACGTAAAAATAATACAATAAAAATTTTAAAAATATCATATATCAGAAAAAACTGATCATTAAATATGATAGTGAAATTAGGACATTTCTAAATTTAAAAAAACTAACGTAATTTGTGACACTAGACAAATCCTGTGAGAAATACGAAAGGTAATTCTTCAGAAAGCAACCCAAAATTAACAAACATGACAATATCATTAACAGAAAAATAATATGAAACTTAAAAATAGGGAGCTAGTGGTATTTGCCCATAGATGAGGACAACTATTTTTTAAAGAGAATAAAAATTATAGAAACTTACAGAAAATTATAGTAAAGGAAACTTCAAGACAAAGTGAAATTTTTTTTTGAATTGCGAATAAAACACTAATAAACTTACCTTCAAGAAAATTAATACATTTTCACATGAATTTTTAAAAAGAAAAGCCATGAACAAAATTAACTTATTACAGACAAGCAGACAGAACAAGAAATCTGCAGCCCCATTAAAAAATTAAAATAGCACAGTAAAATGAAAGAAATAAAACCACACATATTAATAATTATAGTAACTGTGAATTCATTAATGCAACAATCAAGAGTAGAGTAGCAGAATGGTGAGAGGGACATAATCTCTTAATGTGCTGTCTACAAGAGACACACTTTAGACACAAAGGCAAAGATAGGCTGAAAATCAAAGTGTGGAAAAATAGAGTAGGCAACTGCAATGAAAAAAGAATATTTCTCATGACAAAATATTTCTTCAAGACAAAAACCAACATAAGAGACAAAGAAGGATAATTGCCTTTGTTGTTATATGCCCTCAAGTCACCTACAACTTAAAGGGAACAATAGCCTTGAACTCTGCCCTTTCCTAAACTAATCTCACTGGTTCCTACACACCTACCCACAGTACTTACTGACTCAATCTATCTCATCCTAGGTCTTCCTCTCTTGCACTGATCCTCAACCTTTCCAAGGACTAGTGCCCAAAGTATGTCAGATAGATAGGGCTTCAAAATCCTTGGATCCAAGGAATACCCGGTTTCATCTTCTCCAGGACAGAACTGTTTGTTCTCTTGGCAGTCCATGGTATGTATGTTCGATACTCCCCTCCAGCACCAACTCAAAGGCACACATACTCTTTTGTTATTTTTAGCCATTGTCCAGCTCTCTGATGCATGGCAAGTAATTTTGAAGACTCTTGCCTGAATCAGATGCACTTTGGTCTCTAGACTGACATTGTTCCTCTTCAGCACTCTGGAGGAGTCCCTGACAGCAGATTTACCTAATGCATTTTGTCTTTTGATTTTTTTTTTAATTTATTCAAGTTGCTTTGTGATCTATCATTTAACCTATTCTGGAGAATGTTTCCTGTGCACTAGTAAAGAATATATATTACGCTCATAATTGGCTGGATATTTCTATGAGTGTATATGAGATGAAATCTACAAAGAATGATATTATAAAATAATTACAGGTCACTTGAACAAAAAGACACAACTCAATAACTATTACAGAGTCCCAATACATACAGATCAAACCTCAAATTATTTAGACAGAGAAAGAGACAACTCCGCAAAAATGGTAGGAGACTACTTTTTTTTTTTCCAGAAAGTATCTTTATTTACAGTTATCTGAAACATGTTGATAAATTTTATAATTTTTATATGCCTAATTTATGAATTATCAAAATTATAATCTCACCCTAAGAAACAAAAGCTTCATACTGAAAGATTTAAACTTCCATATTTACAGGAATAGTTGACCTTTTTTAACATCAGATGGTCATTTGGCAAAATTCTTAAAGAACTATTAATGATTTATGATCTTATGTATGCTTGCTTATGTTTTTTTCTCTCGGCAGTATTCCAACGTGGTGTACTCTCTCCTTTCTAAAAGTTGTATCACGTGTGTAACACTTTAGTTTGATAGCAGTTTGGTTTTTTTTTTTTCAAAAACCAGAATTAAATATCCCCTTCTAAAAAGTTGCAATAATAGCTATATATATATTTGTAAACTATTGATATCCCAGTCTTTGATTTTTAAAATTCTGATCTCACTATTGTTTAAAGGTAAATTTATATAGCACATGAAACATCAAGTTTTAATAAAGGTTAAAAGAAAGGAAAACTTTCCATTTTAAGATTTAAGGCTTCACAGAATAAAACCTTACATTTAAGCAGATAGGATACAATCTTACCCTGAAAGAAGCCCGGTGGAACTATTTATCTTTCAGTTTTTGACACCCATTTAAAAACAAGCCTTACTACATTATTAACATGGAATACTGTGAAATATACTCTCTTAGGAGAAAATGGAACATACACTCAAAACGATACCACTAGGTATGAAATGGAAATGACTGACCTGTAGGATTTTTTAAAACCTTAATGTTTGGTCATCTTAAATTTTATTTTTACATTTCCAGTAGTAACATTTAATTTGGGGATTATCAAGCTAGGACAAAGTTTTATAACTTAATAATCTTGGATTCTGAGTCATTATAAAATGAAAGTAGAAATGTGAAGAATACTTGGAAATTCATTTTCATCTGTCATGTCTAATTCATCCTCCTCCTCCTCATCTACTTGTTGATCCTTTTTCAGTCGGTAGGTGGAGGATACCTGTCCGGTTCCAGGTACACACTTGGCTGACAGAGATTTCTGAAGAGGTGACTTTGAATTTGCTCTTACAATATCTAAACGAGATGAATAATCTGGTGGATACACTGTGTTTCGGAAAACCTTTATGTCTTTTATTTTCTGTTTTTCAAAGTTGTCAATTGTTTCCTCCAGGTGACGTGTTGTTCGGGTAGCATCCATTGTAGCCCTCTGTAATTCTGTTTCAGCCTGTGAAATAACATGTCGGTCAGATGGGTTTCGCTGACGTGTCCTTTCTAACTGGGTTAACTGCTTAGCTTCTCGATTCCTTGCTGTTAATGTGGCTTTGAGGTCGTCCCGTTTCATTTTTACAATGGTTCCGTAAGCTTTCAAAGGTTCAACTACTTTGGCTTCAAGTCTTTCAACATGAACACTAGACACAAGTCATGCTTCTTCAGTTCCCCTTGGAAACTAAGCTTACCATCCCCTGTAAATGGCCAAAACCTGGCAAACGCCGTGGTTTCAAATTCACGACTTCAAGAGACACTAGACTTTGGTTTGAAATGGTATAATAAATCACTGACAGGTCCTTCTAACAGACTCACACCGTGTTACAGGCAAGAAAATCTGTACGTTTATCATCAAGAGTGGGTTCACTGCTGTGGTAAGGTAGACAGCGCGTCACAGTCTTCTTCATCCACTACTTCGGGGCTCATTGAAAACAAAGACGCTGTGACCTCACTCCGTACCTCTGCTTGTCGATAATCCTGAAGTTTGGCAAACTCATCAGCAAAGTTTTTCAGGCCCTGTCTTAATTGGGGGGTCTCTGTCGAGGCGTACACGTTGATTTCATTCACCAGCAGGTCCGCTTTGTCTCGCAGTCTGGCAGTTTTGCGCACATACGCAGCAAAGATTTGGCACAGCTCTCCAAAATGCTTCTCCACATTCGTGACAGCATCTTGCAGTTGCCTGGTTTGAGCGTCCCGGTTCTCCAGGCTGCGCCTCAACATCTTGCCTCACGCTGGGCCGCGGACCCTGGGCGGGACCCAATGGCGGGGCTCCGAGGCGCCCAGGCGCGCGCTGGGGCGCGAGCCGCCGCCAACGTCGCGGGAGCTGAGACTACTTTTTTTTAACTCTTTAGCATGGTTTTTATTTTAAATTTTACTTTTATATTGATTTGTTTACAAAGTTTGTATGTGTGTGTTTCACACTATTTTTCATTCAGTTGTGTTCATACAATCATTACCATTCATTATGTTTTATAAAGTCAATCACTGTTGAATTATGTCCACCATTACCGTGTCTTTTCAGGTCCTCAACAAAGCGTTCCATTTCCTTTACTGCCTTTCTCCACACACCAAATTGCGGAATCCTGTGATTTGACCCCCTTCTCATTCTCACCCCTCCGCTCCTACTCCTTCCTTCTTTGGATTCGCATACATATTTTATTAGTTATCCTATTTTTACAAAAAGGTCTTATGCAGTATTTGTCCTTATGAGACTGAGTTAGTTCACTCAGGATAATGCTTTCCAGTCTCTCCGGAGTTATGTAGTATTTTTTTTTAATTGTTTCTCCTGAGTGTCATATACTATTCAATCATGTGAATGTACCACAATATCTCAATCCATTCTGTTGTGATTGGACATTTGGGCTGTTTCTATCTTCTTACGATGGTGAATAACACTGCAATGAACACTGATGTGCAAATCTCTGTTGGTGTCTCAGATAACATCTCACACCAGTAGCAATGACAAAATTTAGCAGGACAGCAAGCAATGAATGTTGCAGAAGATGTGGAGAGGTGGGAACTCTTATACACTGTTGGTGATATTGTAAAATGGCACAACCATTCTGGGAGGCAGTTTGGCATTTCCTAAAAAACCTGAACATAGAAATTCCATATGACCCAGTTATTGCAGGAATATACCCCAAAACTGAGAAGATCACTTGAAGTGAAGACCAAAATGACAAGACTCAACAAAGAAACAGTAGAACTAAACAAAACTATTAACCAATTTTACCTAATATATAGAACTCTCATAGCAACTCTTATGTACAACAGCCCTAAACTCTGCTCTGTTCTGTGCCAATCACAATCTCTGAAACACCCATCCGGATGAATCAATCCACCTCATAGAGGGTCTTCCCCTCCTGCACCTGCCCTCCACCCTCCCAAGCATGATGTCCTTCTCCAAGGACCAGTTTCTCCTTACAACATGTATGTCAGATGAAGCTTCAGAATCCTTGCCTCCAAGGAGCAGCCTGGTTTAAACCTCTCCAGGAAGAATCTGCTTGTTTTCTTGGCAGTCTAGGGTTCATTCAATACTCTTCTCCAGCACCACAGCTCAAAGGCATCAATTTTCCTTCTTTTTTAAATTAAATTTTATTAATTTTAATGAACATTTACAAAGATTTTGGATTTGCATTCATTCATTGTTGCACTATTTTCTCTACCCTCCCCCCCAGTTCGTTCCTCTTTTTTGTCCCCCCCCTTGAAAGGCTGTTTTAATTGTCCCATTGCCACAGTGCTTCTCAAAGCCAGTTCTTCTCCCTCTTTTCTTTTGTGAGTTTTGCTAGTGGTTTATCGATTTTGTTGACCTTTTCAAAGAACCAACTCCTAGTTTTGTTGATAGTTTCAA